TAGAGTTGGAAGGGGCGCAGGCAGGAGGTCAACCGCATGGCAGGGAGACCCTTGAGGGGTAACCCGCAAAGCCTCCTGGAGGACTGGTTCGGGCGGAGTCGGTACCGTAAGCACCACCGGTACTGAGGGGCCCATCGGTTCCGAGTCCTGATGTCGGGGACGGTCCGGACAGTCCGAATTCCTGGGTTTTTTGGGAGGCTTGGAGACTTTCTCCTTCCTGGCCTTTTTATGGACTGCCGACTTCTCGGATTTGGCATGCTTCTGCTTTTCGTGCTTCTTTTTAGGTAAAGCAGAGGGAGCCACCGAAGCAGACGCACCTTCATCCGAAGGCCGTGAGGGTGGGGCCACAGAAGCGGAGCCAGGTTTTGGGATGGCAATAAGCGGGTCTGATTGCATTAGGGCCTGATCCCAAAGGAGTCTCCGGAGGCGGTTTTCGCGGTTCTTCCTCGCCTGCTTGGAGAAGGCCAGGCAATGCGCGCATTTATCCATCCTATGCCCCTCTCCCAGGCAGAGGAGGCATAGGTCATGCGGGTCAGTTGGTGCCATTTTTGACCTGCAGTCCGCGCATCTGCAGAAAGCCGCTCGCTGCACCATCGCAGAAGAAGAAGAGAGAGACAGTGCAGAGGGTAAGAGTGTGTGTGTGTGTGTGTGTGTGTATTAGATAGATAGATCAAAAGAAGAAATAACATGAGAAAAAACTACGTGGAACAATAAACTGGGAGCAAGGAGAAGAAAACTGGGAAAAGAAGGACAATTGAGAGCAAGGTGACAGTCGAAGCGAAAGTCGAAAGTGGCACGAGGCACAGCGAACGGCGGTCGCAAAGACTGAACAAAATGGCGGACGCTCCACTCTTTATAGGCCACAGGGGGGAGGGGGAGCGGAGCTTCCCGCCAAAAACCGTTAGCTGACAATCTTCCAGCCACAGGCACTGTGCAGGCACAGTACCCATATGTGTGATGCACAGAGGCCACAATGAAGAACAAAGTATTTGCTTGTGGTATGTAAACCACAAGCAGTGGTGGGGAGTGTGTTTCTTGTCTCTTCTATTCCTTTTTCAAAGTGTTCCTCCTGCAAAATTAGTTGCTTACCATCGTCACAGAGGACAGCTGCATTGTACATAATGAATAACTTCAAGCGTTTCTATGCCCCTGTACACAGGCATAGAAGACACAAGAACAACAGACTTAACGGTGCTTTCACTGTTATCCATGTACTGGCATCTCTATGAAAGGCAGAGTCTCTCTACTTTCCACCTTTTAAGCACATTAATGTATGTTGACTTGAGCCAGCATATCAAGTTCACCTACAACAGCTGGGCTCCAGCCAGTCAAATCAAGACAGCGTGCACATTGGAAAGAGCAACCTGGCACATCAAAATGAAGCAGATCAATCTGGGAATTTCCCTTTCTTGTTAGCTATTAAAATGGCACATTGAGCCAACAAAAGGGAAGTGTGCATGACAGAATAAATCCCAGACTAAAGACAGTCTAAACTTCTTCAAGACAGCCACAAAAAGCAACGTAACACTCAAGGCACAGGTTTGCTCTTGAATTTTACTAAGTGAACTTTAAGAAAAAATACAGGTCTGATAAAAGCATTCTCAGCTATTGTCTCCCAGAGTAAATCCTTATATTAATTATATGCCTCTCACCTCCTCACCATTTATAGTGCTGCAAAGTAGCATTTCAAGGCAACTGAGCTGGGGGATTCTGTCCAGCAAAACTGGTTCCTAGATCCTGGGCATCCTAGGGATGAAGATCTGCTGCTCCCCACCCACCCAGCCTCTCCCAGCAAAACCAGCAAAAGCAGGCTGCGTTCCTTCCCTAGACAAAGACTCTGCCCCAAGCAGGCCATTCTACCCTGCTTCCCCCCACCTCCTTGTTGATGTTTTAAATGTAAATTGAGGAGAATCCGGCTGCCATTTCTTTGCCATATGATGGCAAACAGCTTTAAGGAGCTATCTGTACTTTGCTAACTACCTTTTGGCATTTGCAAAACCAAATGCTACACTATAATACTCTTGGGCACCCAGATAAAACGGCAATGTTGGCAGTGAAAGAAGCAGGAAGGGAACTTCTGTTAAACATAGGGAAAACTTTCCAAACTTTTAGAGATGGCCTGTACAAACTGTGATCCAACAAACCAAGCACCCACCAGTCATGTACTATTGAATGCTCCAGACTTGACATCTTTTCCAAACACCAGAAACATGAAGCAGGGTATGAAGACACTGATTGACATGACAAAATGCTTCTAGGCCAGCCTTTGCACTACCTGGCACTTTCCAGATGTGTGGGACTGAAATTCTCGGGGACTCTGGGAGCTGCAGTCCATTCCAGCACCTCCAGAGAATGCTGGGCTGGGCAAGACCGCACAGCTGGGGGAGGGATGACTTGCCACAAGTAGCCCACTGGGAGTCACAGTGCTATAACAAGGATAGCATGTGCCTCACACTCCTAGAGGCATTGCAGTCCCGCCACTACAACAGGAGCTATCAACAGTTAGGGGTCTGTCAGCTTTGTGGTGTTACAAGTTCTCCATTATGTAAATCTACCCTTTCAGGAATATGTGAATTTTTAATATTTATAATCAGAGTGGAAAGTGCGATTGCTCGTCATGTTTCAATTATCCTTTGGGTTTCCCAGACAGTGTTATGCTTGTATACTGAGTATCCCCACACTAGACACTAGATTGGCTGCATAGCTAATTTGCCTGAAGCCCATAAAATGGAAATACATTTACACCTGTTGTCTTGTCTGACACGGCTGATAATATGCATCATGATTAGCAATGTAGCTCCGCTGCCTTCTCCTATAGTGTATTTACTATGGCATTTTTATTCACAGCAAAAATTAGCATTTATGTGCAAACAAGTTCAGCTCATTATACATGCCATTATTTAAACTGAAAAATGTTGCACTGACTTACACAAGAAGAAAAAATCCAAGCCCTTAAGAGCAAATGTATTCAGTATATTCTCTGTACAAATCCTGATTATGTTTACTTGGAAATTAGTTCCACTGAATGCTCCGGAACCTCCGCACACACACCCTGGAGCAAAACTTCCTCTATAATAATGAGTGGGGGGGTTGTGTAATTTATTGCTGTATCCAAAAGCAACTGCATCCACGTGCTAAATTTAATAGCATAAGTGTTAATAGTAATACAAGTCTAATAAAATTGAAGAATCCAAAGTAAGCCAACACCAAAAACTAACAGAGTGCTAAACCAGCACTCATTTCCAGACTTATTACCACGGGATTGAAATGGCACAAACAAGTCCAAAGCAAGCCTCAGTCAATCCAAAAAAAACCCTCAAAACCCTCAAGGAATCCACTGACAGTCACACTTCTCACAAAACATTATTCCCCCTCCATGGAGTTTTATTTGCTATAGAAGAAAACATATTAAAAATGCATGTAATATCATGTATGGAAGACTGCACACTTGATTTTTAAGTTGCATATACATGCCAATCACAATTTCCTGAAAGGGCTCAAGCCTGCACTGGGTCTCAAACTGCAACCCTGTTTGCTCTGAGCAACTGGAAGATGTTGCTCTAGCTTCTCCTTCTGGTCCCTGGCCTGCCCCTGCCTCATTTCTTTTGCTTATAATTATTTCCACCATCTGCTCAATAGGACCAGTTCGAATACCACCCATCATTTCTTCCCTTGTGTTTTGTTCTTCCTACCAGAGGTAGCCAGCTACCATCACCCATGCGACCTCCACTGAAGGAATGCAATGTATTTATGCACAGAACTGGCAATATACAGTCCTTTTTTCCACACAGAGCCCTCCTGCAGCACTGTGCTATTCATAGAGGAACATGCTGTTTATCCATGCTTTACCTCTCCAAGAACAGGCTCTCTTCCTTAATTCCCCTGTAGAACAGCAGTGGGCAAATCATGGCCCGCATGTGGCCATTTGTTCAGCTCTCAGCTAGAACCTGCTACTACCAACCCTGAAATCCCAGCAGCAGGAGGATCCCAACAGCCTGCCAAAAAGGGAGCATAATTCTACTTGGAGAAAACATGCACACACAACCAGCATGCTTTGCTTCTGAACAGAAGTGCTGTCTTTCCGCAGAATGGTACCCCACAAAAAATCCTCCAAGCCATGGATTATGTGGAGACAATTTCTGTTGGGAATCTGCTCCCCTTGCGCCATGTTTCCCGGCAGAATTGTTGAGATCTCAGTGCCCCCATCACCTCTAACTGTACTGGTGGCCATTACTAGTGATGGGGCCAGGGAAGGGTATACCTTCTCACGGTGCCAGGGCAGCTAATGCAGCTGCCCGACCCTCTGAAGTTGCCCATACCTGTTATAGAACCCAATGCCGTAAGTAGGAGATGGGTAGGAAAAGCCCTGCAAGAACCTGCTTTGCACTGGCAGGTGACGACTCCATCCAGTCCAGTGCAGTTGCTCTCCAGGGCCCCGGATGTCTTTTGCAGCCCTACTGCACAAGACCCAGCCTGGCTATGACCTCTCCACTGAAGCTACACTGGCTCTTAGCATGGGCCCCACACGAGGAAGAAGACAATTGTCACTGTACCACACTAGATGGTAATCCTGCTTGACACCGGCTTAGCATAAGGTCAGATTATGGGAAAAGAAACCAAGCTGAATGGATCGAAATACCAGTAGCATCTCAGTAGCAGCCCTCTTGTACTACTGTCAATCAAAGGGAAGGTCCAAGACCCTGGTGTAGAGTTTAACAAACAAGAATCCAGCACACAGAAAAATCATTTTGAAATGATTAAACTTCCCATCACAACCACTGGCAAGAGGCACTGGTAAGAGCAGAATGAAATACAGCACCAGGCCTAGGGAAACCTCCACTCATCACAACACAAAAACATTTAGCAGTTGCCCGGAGAGATGGCAACTGCTCTCATGTAAACCCAGTGAAATGAAAAGCAGCTGCATAGAAGCCATGGCAGCCAAAGTGTCGCATCTGAAGTGCTGCAGATGCCATTTGGACACCTAGCAAAATGCTTACCTGTCATTATCCGCTGGGCTTCATATGGTTCCATGTAGCCAGTGTTTTCTCCTTTGCCTGTTTTGTTACCCTCGCTTTTGGCATCAAATGGGTCAGAGTAGTCATCTGCTATCTGAACCTGAAAATGAAAAGAGAAAAGTACACTCTTAGCATTGTTTTGGAGTAAGCTTGTTTTGTTACTTAGAACTCTGCAAAGTTATCACTGGTTGAAAATCAGAGACTTCCCCAGAATGCTGCCACCCATTCCTTTCTAATGGACTCCTAAAAGAAGGTTCCGGGTAAGTAAGGAAAGTACTTCATTGGCATCACTTTATTCATGTTATGACCTTCAAAAGAGTTATGTCCTTGAGCATCTGATCTGTTGGACTGGCTTACAGCCTTGCATGCAATAAGCAAAGCATTAACCTTACAACATCCCACCTCTGAAGCAAGGTATCCACACACGTTCCCCTTCACCTTTGGACTGGAGCCTGTCTTTAAGACACAGACACAAAGAAACGGACACTAGAAAATGGAATCTGCTTGACTTTATACTTCATGCTTAAGGCTGCCCTAGTATCAAAGGCCTTTATAACAATGCCATTCCATAAAAGCTGGCAGCAGTGGGGCCAAACCATTTCAGAAGCAGTAAGTGTCCTACACTGGACATTAATACTGCCCCCATACTGGCATGTATACCAGCTGTGGTCAGGGGATCAGCACCTCCTCTATGTGCCTTGCGGGTATAGTGAGAGACCAGTTCAGAACATCACCTATGAGCTGTGTCTTTATCCTTGTAGCCCTAGACTTCAAAGTGTTATGCCAATTGCTATGAGCGAATGGTATTCCTTCATCGCTTTTCATAGGAACTGCAAAATACTTTTGTTCCGGTCCTTGTTTCACTGACGTTTTCCCCCAGCATAGCTGTGATGCATGATTTTATTATGTTTAAATCAGATCATGCATTGCAAACAGAAAAGCTCTAACTGAAAATTGTTTAAAAAAAAACTATCTTATTTTGTGCTAGCTGCTAGTCGTAGAAAAGTTTTTAATACTTCCTGTGATGCTAATTTACCCACCAGATCTTATATACATGTCAATTTTCCATTAAAAACAGCTCTTCTACTATTTATTCCATGGCCTTACAGCCCTTGTGGTACACAACATTTTCTTTTTTAGTTGTGTGCATGTGCCAATGTGGAAGTAACTATATGGCAGCTTTTCCCTACTCAATAACCTCAGATGTGCTAAATCTATTAAGCACACCATCCCCAGGCAATGTGGCCAATATTGTGAATTTAGCCCATAAAAGTGTACTCCGCAACAAATGTTTTACTATTTGCTGTTTTTACATGAAATATATTTCATTTAAACTCCTGAATACAGTGAACACACACATTACATATATTGCTTTACAGAAGCTCAGTAGTCCTTCAAAATATTTACATGCTTTCTAACCCTAATCCTATACATGATTAATCAAAAGCAAGTCCTATTGAGTTCAATGGAACATATTAACAGATAAATGGGTATATGACTACAACCCTTTCTTGCCTTACATGCATGCAAGTCCCAGCATTCCCCAGCCAGCTGGTATTTGTAGGAATTTTTCTGTCTAAAATGCATAGGATTGCACCTTATGAGAACAAACCTATGGTGACATTAAGAGCATCCCTAGGACAACTGGATCCCTTAAAAAAACTCTTCCAAGGTCAGAGATGACTCTCCAACCTTTGGGGGTAGGTCAGGGATTCATCCCACCATCCTGTTGCAGCTGGTGTGGAGAGAACTGTATTGGCTGCCTCTTGGAAGTCAAAATATCAACTTTAGAAATGGGGAGAAGGGGATTTCTAATGAAAAACAGAAAGATCAGGTGATGGAGAGGTAAAGATTGGCTCCACTCTTTCTCCTGCTGACCTGGCTTCAGCCTAGCAGGGGATAAGAATATCAGAAGCCCCAAGTTTGGGAGTTTCCAAGCACACCTATAGACCTCCCCCTCACTTGTTCAGGTAAATGTCAAGACACTGCATGTGCCACAGCATGCAAAAACACACACCTTACTCGTGAAAATATATCCATCTCTGTGTCTACTTTGCAACTTGCTCTAGTTAGGAGAGACATTACACCGCAGCTATTTCAAATTTTAAATGTTTACTAAGTATAATTCAGTGTTTGCCCTGGAGAATTTTTAGAACTGACCCATAGTCTATAAAAGAAAGTGCATGCAATGTGTCTGCTAACTGCTACATACATTGTGGAGACACAAGACAAATATACATAGCTGGAAAAGTTCCAGATGCCTAGAAATTTGATGCAGGCACCTAAGCATTTTTATTCTGGAGCCTAGGAATTTAATTTTCCATTCCCACATATACGCTTGAGGATTTGGCAAAGCACTGATGTTTTCAAACATACAGAAACCCCCTGAAAAGAAGACAAAACAAAATAATACAATCTGATTTAAGCAGGAAGTGTCTGAACATGAGGGCTGCTCCCACTAGTGAAAACTCAAAGAATATTTTTTACCAATAAATAAATTAGATTACATTTTGATCTATGTATATTTAAGCACAAACATGGATCAGCCATTTAATCAGATCTGATCTTAAATTGAAAAGGTCTGTTGTAGTCTAGTGCAGACAGTAAATTTATGTCTGAAAATGTTCCATTTTTTAATCCATTTGATAAAAATGACTATTCCTATCACCTGTCATTCAAGATGGTTTAGAGGTTAATACAGCACTATACTTTTTCAAGCTGTGCTTTGGAGCAGTGACACATGAGGCGGATCAGGATCAGCAAGAGTTATCTTTTAAAGAGCTCTTCCTCCATGATTTTTGTTGCTGTTAAAAACCAAGAATGCAGAATGCAGGTCATTCTGCTGCATGGACTATGGGATGGACTAGTGGATAACCAGTTCACTTCCTCCAACCACTACTGTGCATCTAGTTTGGGTTAGTAGATCTCAGTACTCTAGTAGATTCCAAAAGCTTCTGCCCATACCTGCTCTAGAGAGCTCTAACAATTCCCTAGAAGTTCCTCAATTAAAGGATCAGTAATGGCTGACAAAATCCTCGATTGGCCTTTTCCCTGCAGCAATGCCCAGCTCCATGGGCAAGTTCTAGGTCACAGGAACAGAATGTGAGGCCTTAGGGTCACATCCAGCCCTCTGGAGTTCCCTAGAGGGTCCTCCTTTTACCCACCACCAATCATAATTCCCAGCTGCTGCATAGCTCCCCCACAACCGCAGCAATAGCAGGCACTTCTAAATAGTTGAGAAGCCTCTCCTAAGGCCTGGTTGCTGACAGTAAGAGCTTTAAGCTAACATATGTGGGCATTTTGCAAAGAGATCAAACCAGTCAATCTTAAAGGAAATCAACCCTGACTTCTCTTTAGAAGGCCAGATACTGAAGATGAAACTCAAATATTTTGGCCACCTAATGAGAAGGAACAACTCATTGGAGAAGATCCTAATGCTGGGAATGATTGACGGCAAAAGGAGAAGGGAACGGCAGAGGATGAGGTGGCTAGATAGAATCACTGGGGCAGTGGGTGTGGGCTTGGGTAGACTCCGAGGGATGGTGGAAGACAGGAGAGCCTGGAGGAATGTTGTCCATGGGGTCGCGGTAGGTCAGACACGACTTTACAACTAACTACAGCAACAAATGTGGACATTTTCCCTTTATCTGGCCCTGTTCCTTTGCTTCTGCTCACACTGAGCAATGAAATGTGTCTCCCCATCAAGAGCTTTTCTCAAATGGAGCTGGGTTGAAGGAAACTCAATATCCCTGTTCCATATAGGCAATGTCAAAAAGGCCCAGCCAGCATGCCAAATGAACTGCCTAACAATGAGCAAGTTTGGACACTGGGCCACCTCATGTGCCTTCCTGGCCTACCCCTCCCCATGTGCTTGATAAACCATCAGTATCGGTGGAGATTGGGGGTGGGCAGGAATTTGCCATCCGGAGACCCGGTAAATGGCAGTGAGGGTTGTCAGCACTGCTGCTGACTGCTGCAGTATCAGCTCGCTCAAGTTGGCTCTGCCAATATCCGTGATACAGCCGTTGGCCATGCTCCTCCTTTCTGGTGCTGCGGATGCTCGGCAATAGCACCAGATGTGGCAGCGGTGCAAATCAGACACACTCTCTTGGACTTCCTCTAGAGGAGGATGAACACAGCATGCCCTCCACCCTGTTCTGTGGCAAGGGGTAACTTACAAATCTTACAAGAAGTCATGGCTTCTTGGGGCTTCTTATAATCCATCCCAAAGAAACCATGGAAGGTATGACAAACATTCTAAACAAACCTAGGTGGCTTAGCAAGTATTAAGAACCTAGTTAAATTGTCCCAGAATTCCCTCCAATGCACCATGGTACTGTGGCAGATGTAGATGGGTAGTTCCTTTAGGAGATACAGAAAGAGCTTCCCAAAGACTCACCAGGTTCACACAACCACAGAGAAAAAATAAGTGATGCTGGCTTATTTTCCCTCTGTGCATGGAGAACTGAACAGGTCCTGATCTGCAACTGATATACTTCCCCCCACCAGGCACAGGTTGCTGAGACATCCAAACCCTGAAGTCCAAGACTTCTTGTAGGCTTTCAGGGTGGTGTCTAAGCCACCCCAGCCAGTCACCCTGGTTTATTTCCCCTCCATAATCATGCAAGCCCATCCAGAGAAAGTTTGGAGAACAGTGACTTAAGAAATCTAGTTCTGAAAGGGAGCCACTTTCCCTCAGTAAAGTGAGAATGCATAATGCATTGAGAATCAGAGAAACAAAAAACAATGCATACATGCAGCTGTGCTAGATAGACCTTTGTCTAATCAACCAAGGCAGTTCTTAACGTCCATATGCTCTTAAGAGCTTCTGCCAACTCCTCCCTACTGTTATGGGATGACAACTCCAGAGTAATTACTGTTTCATCTACAGTGGGGTGGTGCTTTTTTTTTTTTTTTGTTATTTTGGACCACTGAAGTATAAGCCAACTCTGACCGTCATTTGAGGTGCAATTTAAGGCAGATTCAGGGGCTTCATTAAATGCAAATTGCTGAAGATGACAAGTGCAAAATGAAGGGGGAGAGGTGTCTCCCCCCTTCTGCTACCCACACCCCCCACTAAATATCAGTAATGAATGGCTT